CTGGACTGGAGATGGCTTCTTTCGAAGTCTTAAGATTCTTGTCAGGGTTGCTTGCCAACAGCTGTGAGGTATTGTTTATCCTGGGGTAGGAAAGAGGGGCTCAAAAGAACATTCGATTCAGATGTGAATATTCAGGACCATCCTAAATATGTAATGAAGTCCCTTTCCAGTAAGAGCTAGGTGGATACTAACCATTCACACAGGCTCGGGAGGTGGAGGCAGGATCAGAACCTCAAGGTCATCATCAGCTACACAGTGAACAAGACCAGCCAGTTCTGTATGACCCTCCCCGACCTTTACTCTGGAGACCCGACATTCCTTTTTTGTTTGGTTCCCTTTAGACATCCTGGAAGTGACTCGACAGCATATATACATGCTGGGCCCGCATCTTGTCCCACACATTTCCCGATCATGCATGCTCTCGGGCGTTAGCTACCGCGGTGCTGTGCTAGACACACGGATCTAGACACAAAGATTCTATCAGGCTGAGTGAAACATATTTGTCACACTTGCTAAGTTTGCCTCTAACTAAATACATGTGCAAGTGACACCATCCTGAAACACAAGAAGGGTATAATACGCATTTGGAACAATTAGCCAGTCTATCGGAGAACACGTGTCCTTCTGCTGGGCATGAGTCCTCAAAGTCCTAACAGGGTCATCTCTCTGGTCACATGCAAACGATTCCAACAATTTCCTATTCCTGTTGTTGGGACGGCTCAGTAGAAGCACTTGCTACCAAGTTTGATGATCTGAGTTCCGTCCCCAGGAGGCACATGGTAGAAGGAGGGAACTCACTCCTGTGCAGTCCTCTGATACCCACACAGAGAAACATACATTTTAAAAGTTTTTTTTTTTTAAACAACAACTTTATATTCGAGTTACAAGCATCCAGAGTAGCCACAGAAGGTGTAAAGCATTTGTAATACTCTTCTGGGATGGCTCAACATTCCACCTGAAATATAGTACAAACTTAATAATTTATCCCAGTGCATTCAGCTGACTTCTGACTCCAGGAGAGTAACGGAGTGTACCTTCAAATATCAGTAAGCTCAAACGATAGATAGCTGCCTTTAGAAAGCAGAGTCCGAGGGGGCAGAGAAGCTATGGATGCTAATGAAGAGCTCTTACAAAGTTTGACCCGGGTCGCTTCTGTATTAATATATTTCCTTTTATTATTGAGACACGGTCTGGAACTCACTGGCTGACCCTGAACTCAAAAATCTGCTTGCCTCTGCCTCCTAAGTGCTTGGATTAAAGGTGTGCACCACCACACTCAGCTTGTAATGCATTTTAATACTTTTTTGCTATAGAGATGAGCTTCAACCCTATATTGATTAAAACTCAATTAATACATTCAACATTAATTGATTGGGGGGGTTGGTTTTTGGAGATAAGGTTTCTCTGTGTAGCTTTGAGCCTTTCCTGGTTCTCACTCTGTAGTCCAGGCTGGCCTCGAACTCACAAAGACCTGCCTGCCTCTGCCTCCCGAGTGCTGGGGTTAAAGGCATGCACCACCACCACCCGGCTTTTCTATATTCTTTACATGACTTGCCTTTAGTCACAGTATTGTTCGGTGACGTCACATTCCATTGTCTTTTTTTTTTTTTTCTTTCAGATTTTGCACATATGAATGTGTACTGTGTGAGTGCCTAGGAAATACAGATGGTTGTGGATCACCATGTGGGTGCTGGGAACCAAACCCAGTCCTTTGTAAGAGCAACAGGTGCTCTTAACCACTTGGCCATCTCTCCAGCCCCTCCATTGTCTTTTTGCTATTGTTTTCTTGAGTGTTTCATGTAACTCAGGCTAGCCTCAAACTCACTAGGGAGCCAAAGATGACTCTGAACTTCGGACTCTCTTGCTCTTATCTCCTGAGTATTGGGATTACAGGTGTGCATCACGATGCCCACTTACTTTTCCTTTTTTCAATTTATACACATAGGCATTTTGTCTGCATGTATATATGTGTACCACATGTGCCTGGTGCCCACAGAGATGAGAAAAGGGCCTCAGTTCCCTTGGAACTGAAATTATAGATGGTTGTGAGCCATCATGTAGGTTCTGGGATCTAACCTAGGTTCTCTCCAAGAGCAACAGCTGCTCTAAATGTTGAGCCATCTCTCCAGTCTTACTTTTTTTTTTTTTTCTAAAATAGCCATATTTTATTTTATTTAAAACTTTTTTATATGTATGGGTGTTTTTCATGGATGTATGTTTGTGCACCATGTGTGCGCCTGATGCCCTTGGAGGCCAGAAGACATCAGATCCCCTGGAACTGGTGTTTTAGACAGTTGTGAACAGTCACCTGGGTGCCAAGAACTGAACCCAAGTCCCCTGGAAGAGCAGCTAGTGCTCTAAATTGCTGAGCCAGCTCTCAAGTCCCACTTAAATTTTAATATAGGGTCAGGTAGCCCAGGCTGGCCTCAAGCTTGCTCTTATGCAGCAGAGGATGCCCCTGAACTCCTGATCCTCCTGCTTCCATGCTGGGACACAGGCTACCATACCTGACTTATTGGAACAGAGTGTTACCATAGCCCAGGCTGCTGCAAATCCATAGTGATTTGCTTCCAGAGTTCTGCTGCTAGGAGAGACAGGCATGAGTCACCATGGCCAGTTTGTTACTTTTTAAAAAAATGACCTGTAATAACTATTTTTGGTTAACACTGCTTTTTCTCCATGACCAACTCATTAACAAGGTAACTATTCAATCATTAAGGCATTTTTTTTTTTTAATAAGTCACCTAGGTTAGCCAGATGGCTAGTTGGGTAAAAGTGCCGAGCCTGAAAACCTGACTTCAATCCCTGAGTCCCACATGGTAGGAGAGCTGACTCCTGAACATTTTCCTCTGATCTCCAGGCACGTGAAGTAGCACATGATCCCCCACCCCCCCACCCCGACATACAAAAATAAATGTAATATACACTTTTAAAACCCAATGCTTCATTAAGCAATAGAAAATTATGAGTAACTTTTTAGAACTTGGACCTCAACATTTCTTGGCTATTTAAGTAAAAATGCAGACATCTTCACATTGTTACTATGAGTTTCAAAAGAATAAGTTACTTCTAAGAGCTATTTATATGTAAGGACAGAAGAGCACACAAGCATGCTGGAACCTTTCCACGTCATTGTCTCTGGGATCCGAGCAGCAGAGGCCTGGTGTGAACGGAAGAGCCTGATGGCCGGGGTCCAGTCTAGATGCTTCGGGCTGAGGAACAAGAAGTTGAACTGTGCATACATTAGCTTGACCCATAAAAACCAAAGGGTCTCCTTCAGACTGAACAGGGCTAAGAGCTAAAGCCTCAGCAGCTACGGGGTGGGTATTTCTAAAACAGGACTTCTCAACTTGTCAGAAGAGCTAAGGAGGCTGGAGAGACAGCTCAGCAGTTAGGAGCACTTGTGGCTCCTGCTCAGGACCCAAGGACATGTCCCAGCACCTATATGTCAGTTCACAGGCACCTGTAACTTGAGTTCTAGGGGGATCCCATGTTCTCTTCCAGCCTCCTTGGGCGACTGCACACACACACACACACACAAAACCTTCAGTCGGGCAGTGGTGGCACATGCCTTTAAACTCCGCACTTGGGAGGCAGAGGCAGGCAGATCTCTGATTTTGAGGCTAGCCTGGACTCAAGAGTGAGTTCCAGGACAGCCCAGGCTACACAGTGAAATCCTGTCTCGGAAACAAAACAACCAAACAAAAAATAAAATAAAACCTTCAAAAAGCAGGGTGCCAGGGACACTCATTGCTCTCATTTTTGAGAAGGGGCTGCTCATTAGTTTGGGGTGCTTCTTGGTGGCTTCCTTAGAGGAAGGTGCCCTTAATTTGAAAACCACCCCTTTTTGCAGGGGCTCAAAACCTGATTTGCATCTAATTCTTTCTCAGCAGGAATCAAACCCTGTTGCAGACCATCTATCCCTCCTCACCTAAAGCCTACTGGAGGTCCAGCCTGTATGGGAACTGTACCTGTTTCCTGTCCATATAAAAGTTTCTCTAAGAGCCCTCGAGGCGCGGCCTCTCATGCTACCTTCCTGAAATGCAGATTTATTCGGAGCAGTATTACTACTATAATACACAATAAAACTATAATAACCCTGTAAATAATAATTACACATTCATTGTGTATATATACCCAAGTCTTACAGGGCAAATGGCTGAGCTGTCTTCCTGTTTCTTAATAAAACCACCAAAGTCCTATTAAAACTTTCTTAGATAAACTACAAGAGAACTTTCTTCCTTCAACATGTACTAGCAAGAGGGCAATACTCAAAGTGCCTTGATATTTAAGCTTCTACATGCCCTGACATCCAGTGAATGATGACATCTTTCAGTTTCATGACACTAAATACAAAAGCTGTTATTCAACATTTGTAAAGGTGAGACGCTCCAAAAACAAGATATATTTAATACTTTCAGTGATGAGGCAATCTCTTTTTTTTTTCCAATTATAATTTAGTCTCTATTATTCTGGTTTCTCTTCAGACCATATGAAATGCCTGCCTTTTCATAATTTTGTTTCTGTATATTCTCCATGAAGGGTGTGTGTTCCAAATAGTTCTCTTCTGTCCTTATCATGTAAGCCCTTTGCTTCTACTCAGCAGAGGAGAATGGGGCACCTCTCTGCTTAGATGGACTTTGAAGGAGTTATTTCTGCAGAAAGGACTCTCCCACAATTCTGCTGTTAGCAGGGACCTCAACTATGGTTCCAAGTTAAGTAGCAAATGAGCATTTACCATCCCAAAGAATATGAATTTCAAGACTCCTGCTATGTAGATTCTGTACACCATACCCTCTAATATATTTGTGATGAAAGACTATTGCTTTAAAAACGTTAACTATCATTTCCGGAAATACCAACCGATTCAATGGCAAAGAGGAGTCCCCTGTGTTTTAGAAGGGAACCAATACAATTGAAAAATTCCAATTACCCAGTCTTTGTATAGGTTAACAATATCTAAAGATAAGAAATGTTAAATGAACAACTTAAAACAATTATGCCATATTCATCCAGATGACATTTTTATTTCGTACTTCCAGTTACTTAGAATAAATATTTATCGGCTTTCAAATTCATTTATTATTTGATCTAAAAGAACTTACTGAATAAAATGCTCAGTTCCAATGTATCCACAAAGATAAAACTACCTTGGGGTATTTGCGGAAGAGTGTAGACGAAGAGAAACAGACACTATGATACAGTTGTGTGGATGACGTTAAACATGTGTCCCTGTTGACAGTCATCCCCGTGATTTGTCCACAGCCACAGATATCCATGCAGTGCATGAGGTCCCAGGGTTGCCCATAGGAAGCTGGTAACCCAGTGGGAACCAGGGCTTTTAAGGTCTCTTAAAAACGTAACGTGGTCGAACAAAAAAACAAAACCCAAAGCAACCAAAAGACCTCGATAAGTGTTCCAGTTAGCGACTCCTTGGCAACTCAGATGTAACCAAACGACTTTGGTGGGCGATTAGAATGAAACGTGCAACGCTCACTCTCAACAAAACCTATAAAGCCCGTAAATTATGTTCGGCTCTGAGAATCGGCAGTTACTAGCACCTTCCTTCCGCACTTTTTAATATTCTATACAGTTCTGCATCCACGGCCTTTTCATTCAATTATTGCCCTACACAAGGTCTCCGGTGGCTCTCGGGGAATCGCTTCTTTTAAGGCTGCCCTGGCAGGACATCAGAACGCCAAGCCTCTGGGTCGCGATCCCGCCCTCGCTCCTCGGAAGGTGGGAACATCATGCGCTTAGACTTGCTTATTTAATTGCAGGCATGGAAGCAGACCCAGTCCGAAGGGATGCGCCGAGTGGGCGGCCCAGGGTGTGATCTGTCCTTCCTGCGCTCCCAGAATGCGCGCCCTCCCTGGGCCTGGCCGGCGCCCGCGCGCCCCAGGCCTCGTCCGCCCGCCAAGCACCTAGAGGATGCCCCCGCGAGGACCCCGCCCCTCCCGCGTCCACGCACCTGCGGCCCCGCCCCCGGTCACGAACCTTCAGGTCCACGCACCTGCCCTGCCTTCCCTCCCGCCCCCCGCGCGCAGCCACCAAGCTGCAGCCGCGCTCCTCCTCGGCCGCCCGGGTATCTAAAGGGGTCCGTCTCCGGCACCACAGCCAAATGGCTGAGCCTCCCTGGCCCGCTGCGCAGGCCGCCCATTGGACCCTGCCCCCCGCCGCCGCCGTCACCATTGGCTGGCATCCGGAGCCTCGCCACTCGATTGGCTCGTGCTGCCGCCGCTCCACGCCGGAGCCGCAGGTCCCGCCTTCACGGCGATCAGGTTAGTGTGCGCCGCGGGTGCTGGGGGCTCGAGAACCGAGCGGAGCTGGTTGAGCCTTCAAAGTCCTAAAACGCGCGGCCGTGGGTTCGGGGTTTATTGATTGAATTTCGCTGGCGCAGGATCCTCTGCAGAGAGAGAGCGCGAGAGATGGATATGGACAAACGGATTCATTTAGAGCTGCGGAACAGGACGCCCTCTGATGTGAGCATTTGCCAAAAATATCTCTGTCGGTCCATTCTCCTACTTTGTGTTATGTGTGCGTGTGTGTTTGGGGGGAAGGCACTTTTTTTTATGGAGGGGGGTCCGGGGTAGTGTAGGGCTTGGGATCGGACTGCAAATGAATTGCAAGGTTGGATTGGGGGGGGGGTTGCAATGCCATCGGAGCATGTTCTGGCCACCGCCGCCGCTGCCCTTGGTGTGTGACTACCTGTGCGTGTGCTCCCGCGTGTGCGGGTATGGGTGCGAGGGTGTGCGTGCGAGTGTGCACCCAGCTGGGGGCCGGCGGGGCGCACGCGTTCGGGTCGGAGGGAACGCGGCGATCTCACCCTCGTCCGAGCTCTCAGCTCCCACGACTCGCGTCTGGATGGAAAAGATGATCGAGGGGAGGAGATGGGCTGCCTCCTGGATTAAACAACAAAAAGGGGGTGTTATATTTTAGAAACGTACCCCCCTTTCCGCCCCCTCCCGCGCCTGCCCCCTCCCTTTGCCGTCTCTCTTTCGCTCGCTCGTTCTCTCGCACACAATAAGTTTTGGGATTCGCGGGTCCGGTTTAGTTTCTGATCAATGTGGCCCAAGGCCCCCGGGGAGAGCGCGTGGGGACCCGGCTGCTGCGGAGTTGGGAGATGGCTCGAGTTTAAAGCGCGTCTTCGTTTCTCTGCGGGGATGAGGCGAGAGGTGGGGAGCCATATTTGTAACTTTGTCGTGTTCGTGAACGCGCCCTTTCTCTCCCTCCCTCCCTTTCTCTGCCTGCCTTCCTTCTTCTCCTTTCTCTCTCACTCTTTCCACCCCACCTTTGGGCCAGATGCTGTCTTTTCTCCCTTCTTCCTCGCGGAAAGGGGGGGGGGTGCCTTAGGAGGAGGGGGAGGGATTGTGGAGTGTGCAAATGCTCAGATAATCCTCACGCCTCCCCAACCACGAGCGTTCGCTAGTGTAAGTTGACCGAAGGCTGCGTCCCGGTGAGCCCCTGGCCCCCGGCTTCCTCCCCAGATGCCAGCCTTGGCACCCTGATGCCCCATCGGCACCAGCTACCCCACCTCTGGGTCCCTGCTTCTCCCGGGGTGGGCTCCCTGGCAGCCATTCGGCTCCTGGTTAATAAATGGGCACGGGAAACTTTATCAGGACCCGAGGTGCCCAGAGCTGGTGCTGCTGTGGGGACTGGCCCGGTCTACATTCTTGCGGGCACGGCTGGCACGCAGCTCTGGGATGGGCAGTTCGTCTGGCCGTCGCCGTTATGGATTGGGCAGCGGCGGGAGTATGGCAGGAGGAAACTTACACCGGTGGGAACAGGCAGGCTGGGCGCGAGCCCACTGCTAGGGGAAGTGAGGGTGGGAGACTCGAACGCTACTGTTTATTTTTGTCTCCCTCTCGCTTTCACACACTCGTGTTGTCCTACGAGTTGGCCCATCCGAGAGACCCTAGGGTCTGGGGTGGAAACCCTGGCCGACTTCCCCTCAAGGCCCGGTCTTGGGGAGAAGGGTCTCGCGGGCGGGAAGATCCCAGGTCCAGCCTAGGTGTCTGGGGTTCGGGCGAGTTGGGGGCTCGCGCAGCACGTTGCGCTGACCTGTCGCCCCCCTAGTCACTTGGCCCCTCGAATCCTGACAAAGGCAGGCCTCGTTTCCTCTTTTCCCCTAGTTCCTCCCTCCAAACCTGAGTAAGACTTTTGAAAACAAGCTCCTTTTCTGCCGTCCGCCCATCCTCACGCAGCTGTGCACTGGAGACGTGCTACAGCCTTATGGCGCGCAGGGCGGGGAGGAGGGGGCGCCGCCAGCAGCAGGACTTGCCGCGGGGCTACCGGGTTCGGCCGGTGTCGTCCCGACCCAGTCCCCGTGCCCGATCCCGGGGGTGGAGGGGGCTGGGTGTGGTGCTGGGGGAGGGGGCCGAACGCGGGCTTTCCGCGTACTTTCCGGAAGACCCCTGAACGTAGTTGGGGGGCTCCGGGGTCGCGGCGAGTAGGTGCGCATAAGCGCTGGGCCGGCCCGAGCGATCCACCGTACTAGCCAACCCGGAGCGAAACGGAAAGCGGGTCGAACCGGCTCTTTAAACTTCCCCGAGTGTGTGCGCTGGGGGAGGGGCGGGCGCGCTGGGCTGGGCGCGATTTCTCACGCTTCGCCCCCTCGCCGTGAGTCCGCGGCCCACTCGCCGGCCCCGGGGCTCCCGGCGGGGTGGGGCGCGCGGGTGGCGGGGGAGGGGGCACTTGCTGCGCATGGGGGAGGGGAGGGCAGAAAGCTCTCGAAAGAGGGACAAAAGGGGTGGGGGAGGAGGAACTGGCTTTTTTTGTTGTTGTTTTTCTGGTTTTTTGTTTTTTCAAATAAACGTTTTTTGGAAAACAGATCGTTCCGGGGAGCCTCCCTCCCCACAGTCCCGTCCCCCCCCCGCCGCCCCCACGCACCCACCTTCTGCAACCTCTCTCCCAAGTCGCATCTCGGGGACTGGTGGCCGCGACGCCGCCGAACTAGGACGAGCAGCCATGTTTCCCGGGGCGCCGGCGGCCCGCCCCTCCCCCACGGCGGCCGCGGACCCGGCTCGGCGGGGACCCGGGTGCCCAGCGGAGGGGACCCGGGCGCGCACAGGCGCAGCAGAAGCTCGGCGGCGCGGGCCTGGGGATTGGATCTAGAGAGGGCGAGGCGGGCCGGGGGCTCTCGCCCGGCTCGGACCTGCGGGCCCCTGTCCTCGTCATTTGCACTGCTAGGCCGGCGGGAGACCCAGCCCCAGGGTGCCTGGCATTCTCGGGGTGCAGGGGCGGCCGTCCCCGGCTCTGCGCCGGTGGCTCGCCTGTCGGGCACCGAGCTGCCATTTTGTCACCGTGGCTGTTGTCGTGCTGGGGGGGGGGGAGCGAGAGGCTTACGCCATCGCCCCGACGGCCGCCCTCCAGCAAGGTGGCTTCTGGGGGAGCTGGCCCCAGGGACACCCCCACCCCACTTTCGCATTCGGTCTTACGGGGGCTCCCACCCCGCGCCCGGGGTCCCAGGATCCCGAAGCTATCGAAGCCCTGAGAAGGTGACGGTCTCCTTAGCAAGAGCTCCCCCCCACCCTTCCTCCTCGACTCCCTGCCTCCTTCTCCCCACCCCCCCCAACCCCCGCCCTCGGCTCGGTTTTCCGCGGTGGCTCCCGCTGCGCTCTGCACGTAGTGAAAGGTGGCCTTGAAGGCGAAGCGATTGCTCTGGTGTTTGCGCCTTCGGCGGAAATGATAGGGTGGTGTTTGGGGGGTGGGGGTGAAACTGGAGGGCGGGAGGGGCTCCTCGCCAGTCTAGTGGCCCTAACTGAAGTCGAGGGCGTCGGCCTCCTACCCGGGAGGGACAAGTTGTTGGGATGCGCTGGGGAAACGCCCTCCAGGGCTGGGCTCTCTGGAAAGGTTGGTCGAGTTTCAGGTGGGTGTCGCAGCACCCTGCAGGCTGGGGGAGCTCTCTCGCTATTTATCCTTTGCCTCCCCCCCTTTTTTTCTTTTTGTTTTGGTGGGGCAGGGAGCTAACTACATACTAACCACCACCCTAAACCGAAAGAGAAATAGGACTTTCCTTTAAAAAAAAAAAAAAAGAAAGAAAGAAAGAAAAGTAAACTGTCTTTTTGTGTTGACTTAAGACTCAGGCAATTTGTTCCCAATGCTGGTCCGGATGTGGGACTCAAGCGTATGGTAGGCACCTCCCTGGCTGTAGGCTGGTGTCTGCATGCAGAGACTAACTTCCATGGAAGTGGCCGGCAAAGGCTGCCATCCGAGCCAGAGTCTACTTTGACCTCTGGAATGCATTGCGTGTTTTTTTTCCAGGCTGACTTACTGCCTAATTGGGTTCAAGTGGCCCGATATTTGCTCCAATTTATGCAAGCCAAGCGGAGATTCAGAGGCAGAGAACGGAGTGAGACCTTGGTGTGGTGGCGATCAGTTGAGTCTTGTGACTGGCAGCCGGGGCTGCTTGTTTTGAATCTGAAGTTCCATGGTGAATCTGAAGCCACGCAGACCTGGGTTTGAAATTCACCAGCTACACGGAGATGGGGTCCTAACCTGTGGTTCGGGACAGGTTAACTCAGTTTACTTCCAAAGCTTGGCACATACGTTCTCTAAGATGGGGACGGTGCTGCTTTCTCAATAAGTGACAAAGATGGTTTGATTTGGCTCTTAGCAGGTGCATCGTTTAGTCTCAGATGCTGGGGAACGGTGAGGGATAACTTCAGGCGTCCTGGAGGTTTAAAATAACTAACAACTCCAACAATCATAGCGGATGCTTACATAGTCTCTTACTGTGTCTGGCATGTTGCTAAGTGGATTACACACATCAGTTAATTTATCCTCACAAGGGCACTGTGTTAAGGACCGTTGTTATTTCTTATATTAAATGTAAGGAAATTGAGGCAGAGCTCCAGGTCACCACCAGTGCAGGACCCAGATTCTAGCTCGTCGGACATACTCAGCTTCTGTACTGCCTTGAAGCACCATGACTAGTTAGTTGTATTTTTGTAAAGCACCATGAGGAAGGGCTTTTTTCTCCTTAAGCCTTGGAGTTATGCCACCTTATTAGCGAGAGAGTGGGTTTGGGTTTGTTGATACTGCGGACTTTGAAACAAAGCATGCCTTCCTGTTGAAGATGGGGTCAGATGGGCAGGGTGGGTAGGCATTTTAAGGGGAAGCCTTACCTTGGTTTCGAATATAAATGTACATCGTTTTAAGGTGAGATGAATCTGGCCTCTTAGATGTTGGGGCACACTTTTGGGGTAATGAGAACACAAGCAGGATCCATTCCTAGCTAGTGCTTATTTGGGGTCTTAGCTATAATGCATTTTCTGTTTTTATTTGTCTTTTCTCCAGAAAGAACAAAAATTCTGGGCAGAATAGGCAGGCTCCTGGTGTTAGGGTGTAGCATGCTAATAACACTGCCCAGAGCCACTTGCCTGACCCTGCCTGCCGTTCCGCCATTCCTTAGGGACTTCGAGGCAGGAGGGAAAATCTCCCCGCTGTGAGGATGGATCACCTAGGGCTCAAAGTCAACCTCAGAGGCCATCTGTGTGGACAGTAGAGAAGGGAGGTTGTGTGGCTCTGTAGTTCACTAAAGCCCAAACGTGACCTATATTACCAGCTCACCAGGGGAGCGGGTGAAATGCAGATTCCTGGGCTCCACCCCCCTGGGTCTAGGTTGACTGCCGGGCCACTGAACTGCAGCTGAGTGGCTTGTCTTAAGCCACATGAGTTGAAAACAATTTGTATGCCTGAACACTGAGGGATCTGATGTGGGACACCAACCTTTGGTTCCTCCTCCCTACAAATTGCACCTGTCACTTTAACAGACTTGTTAAATCCAGGGGAAAAAAACTGTACCCGTTATATTTTGAACTTGATCAATAAAAGAATTACAGGGATGTGTGTATCTTTTTTGTCCTAAAAGCACCTGTGTTGAGTTGTCAGTTTTGCTTCTTGGTGAAGTTGACTACCTAGAATGTTTGTGCATCTCTGTGTAGCAGGCTAGGGGAGGTCCCCGGGGTCTTGTGCTTTGATTTTTTTAGGTATGTGGCAAGTCCTACATTTGATGGTGCATTGTGGATTTTCCAAGACCTTCTGTATATACCTTTAAGCTGGTTGGATCCTCACAGAACTCAGCCCTAGCTCACCAGCCCCTGTAGGAAGTTGTTCTCATTCCTGGCTCCCTGTGGAGCAACCCTCTACCTCAGAGGTAGAGGAGAACTTTAAACCACCAGATTCCAGGCTTTGAGGCCTACTGAAGGCAGAGCTGCTCTGTACTCAGTGGCTGGCGTCAGGATCAACACAGATCACTGAAAACCCCAGGTCACCCCTGGCCCCTCCTTCTCAGGCCTGCTGCTCTTCTACTGTGCATGCTTCCTGGGGAGATAACCCACAGCAAAGCAAGATGGCTTTGGGTTCAAAACCCTTTTCCAACTGCAGCTGTTTGTTTGTTTGTTTGTTTGTGGTTTTTTTGTTTGTTGTTGTTATTTTGTTTTTCGAGACAGGGTTTCTCTGTGTAGCTTTTCGCCTTTCCTGGAACTCACTTGGTAGCCCAGGCTGGCCTCGAACTCACAGAGATCCGCCTGGCTCTGCCTCCGGAGTGCTGGGATTAAAGGCGTGCGCCACCACCGCCCGGCTCAGCTGCAGCTTCTTAATGCCTCAGCTACTAAGCAGGAGTGAGTGGAAGGTGACACTCTTGACAGTAGTTTCAGACCCTGTCCCCTCTCTTGGCTGGGGACACATCAGCAGCCTCTCAAAGTGACTTCCTTGGGACTTCTGCAGTTAGCCATTCTTCCTGTTCCGGTGTAGTGGGAAAGGTGCCTGACTTGCTGCTAACTCACCAGGCTGAAGGGCTGGGTGATGTTTACATCAGCTGTCTGCTCACCCCTCTTCCCTCTGCTCTGGAGCCCAGAGCTCGTTGCTGAGTGGCTGTGATTGGTGTCTGATGCAATGAACTTGGTCCAGCCTTCTGCCCTGAATTCTGACTTGGAGACTTTCCCTTTTGGACTCTTATCTCCTAGCTCCACTCTCCATCAGTGCCCAGCGCTTGCTTCTCACAGACAGGTCAAGAACCACGAACTTGACTTACGTTACACTGGAACATAATTATACAACAGATACTGAACACCCAGCGTGTTTGCGTGGAAGAAAGGGCTTCTGGCTGGAACAGAGGTAGTTGTTACTCAGAACATCTCACTTAATAACATCTGCTGAAGCCACATGCGCAAAGCACCCATGGCCCTCATCCACCTTCGCAGACACGGAAACAGACTCCTTGTATAGAACCAGTTGTCCAGATGATACTATTGTCTTCATGCTGTGTGACAAGCCCTGTCCTCTGCCATGCCCCACAGCACTGGGGCGAGGGGTGGGACCTCAAACTGATCTTGTTTGAGCTCCATGCTGTGCACCTCCCCCACCCCCATTTTACCATTATCTTTAGCAAACTGGCTCCAGGCAGGAGGTTTAAGAGATGACCCCCCCTACTCTACTAATTCCTTACTCTGGTGTATTTGCATTTTGAGAGTCTTTCTTAGTGGGGAAATTATTGAAAACTATTAGAGACTTGGATGCACTCCTCAGCTTTGTCATTAACTGGAGTTGGACAAGTGGTTCAGCTTTCTGTCTCTCCATCTCAAGTGAAGGGGTGTGTGTTTAGGGCTGGGGGTGTATGTAGTTTGCTTACTAGAGTGCCTGGCTGGAATAGACAGATCGCTAGGCTCTATTTTCCACACTGCATAAACCAGATGTAATCCCAGCACTCAACTGCAAGCCCGGCACTTCAAGGGTGGAGGCTGGAGAATCAGAAGCTGAAGGCCATCCTCAACCACATGCTGAGTTCAAGTTTAGCCTGTGCTACATAAGACCCTGTCCAAATAAATAACGTGGGGGTGCTGAATTAGCTCAGTGGTATTCAGACTTTTTGAACCCACTAGTGACATGATCCATACTGTTGCCCAGCACATATGTATGTATATACATACATAATACATACATATTTTAAAAACACACTTGATTCAATGAGAAGAAAATACACTAGTTTAGACTCAAGTTGATTTCACTCTATTACTGTTTGAAAAATTAAAAGTTGGGTATTAAAATTCCTTCAGCTGTCTTGTGGTTTGGGTTTGGGAATAGAGCGTGTATTTCCTCTGCATTGAGGCAACAGTGCTTTTCTCAGTTTCCTAACAGCCCAGTGCTGGTCCTGAGTCCCCAGCTGCTCAGGTTACTCTTGTCTATTGTCTACCCCTGGACAACCTCATGGTAAAAGTAGCCATTAGCTTAGTGCCTATCCTAGGTGGGTGCCTGCCAGAGTTATTGGCTCTGCCAATGCTCTTCGCTGCCATGTCGCCTAGCCCTTCTTTATGCCGTACACCAGGAAGGGCACCCACACTTTCTTTCA